TTTTAATTTGAATTAATTGTTTATTGTATTTATGTGCTTAAATGTTATTTTAATTAATTGCCAGTGTGTATTTAAATTGTTTAAATGCTATGTGTTTATTTGTATTTGAATTGTTTATTTTATTTTATTTTAATGGATATGGATAGTAGTAATGAACCAACCATTTGGGTCACTTGGACTACTTGGATAGGAGATCTAAATGGGTACAGATATTTACCCATGAATAGTTGTATATATATATATTTATAGGGATATATGTGTATATGGATTGTTTTATTATTACTATTATTATTATTATTTGTGGTATTATTAATAGTAATAATATCATTATTATTATGGATAGTTAGTATTTTATATATATATATATATATATATATATATATATATGTATGTAATAGACTTAGTATATATTTATATTTTATATTCTTCCTTTTTTCTTTATTTATAATTAAGGTAAAGTTGGATTGGGAATATGATTTAGATGTAGTTATATATATATATGTGTGTGTGTGTGTGTGTGTGTGTGTGTGTGTGTGTGTGTGTGTGTTAGGGGTCTGTGAAAGGGTTAAAAAACCCAATTCACATACAAATTTTAGAGAGAGTTTTAGATAGAGAAAGAATGAGGTTTTGGCAAAGAAGGAGGCTAAACTAAGGAAGAATGAGGCTTAGTTTTTCAATCTGAAAATCCTAAAGCAAGTTCTTTTGTATTCTTCTCCTTTGATTTTGTGTTCTATACATGCCTAGATTAATTCCATGATATTTAAATTGAATTAGTAAACCTGTTTTTGCACATTAAAATATGATTTACAGTTCATGGTTATATGTATATGGGTTTGTATGGGTTTTGCATTATTTGATGATTTGATGCATTAATTGTATTCTATAATAATGGAAGCATGTTTATATGATGTATAATCATTGTTGGGACATTCTGGGGGCGTCGATTCAAGGCTTTAGACCTTCAACAATGGAGGTTTGAAGGATCAGATTCGTCAGAGACGAAGAAGATGAACAGTCGTAAGAACTGCCTGAATCGGTCGATCGGTTTGTTGTTTCGGTCGACCAAAATGGCTCACAGGGACAAGGGGGTTTGGTGAATCGGATGACCGGAATGGGGTTTCGGTCGATTGAAATGGCTGAATCGGACGACCGATGGGTATTTCGGTCAACCGATTTGGCACTGAGATAGTTTTCTAGGATTTTTCATACTGTATGTAATTGTATGTTTGTGAATCTATTATTAAATGCTTTAAATTGTTTAACATATATCCATGGAGGATTTAGAATGCATAATTAATATTAATATGCTAAGGGTTTGAACAATATGAAATTTAAATTAATTTACATGTTATTAATAGAAGATAAAATTGTTTAAACTTAATCTAGCAATTTTCAATGATGTGTATATGGTTTTAATCATGTGTTGTTAGTATAATATGATCGTGTAATTAATTAATTTTGATTATACTTAATTTTGGATTATTTTGATGTATAATTATGTATGTTGGATCAATTATGGATTGTATGGATTTATGCATCATTGTTAGGATATGGGGGCATATTATGGATGGATTAACTAAAATAAGTTAAGTCCTACCTATTCGTGTCAGGCCACAGAACTAGTTGGATGACATGCCATTGAAATTATATGGTTTGATAGTTTACTTTTATGTTGGATATGATGGATTATAAATATGTATAGATATGTGCCATGATATAAGCTTGAATCTCAGGATCAGTGGTTAGGGAGCGTATATGTATAGCTGGATATAATGGATAGTTCAGTGCCCTATTAGATCTAGGTACTCATGCTCACTTTATGTGCGTTTTGCACGTTGCTTACTATTCAGGTTGAAGCCGTCTTCTAGTCCAGTGAGAGTCCTTTAGTGTGTATCTATATATATACGGATTATTTAGTTATTGTAGAATTAACTAGAATGTATACGTGTATTGGGTCTCTATCTGGGATGTAATAGATTAGAACTTGTTCGTGGGTCTGACCCACTATTATTTTTCAGGTGTTCGTCAGTTCTAAACTTAGAGATTGTTCGTGCTGAGTAGAGACAGCCTATTCACTCTTCCGATTCTACGTAGGATTCTTCTTTATTTATTTCAGTAGCGTTTTGAATTTCTTTATTTATTTCAGTTAGGTTTTGGATTAGAGGTCTACGTGATAGATTCTCGAGTTGTAATCTTGATGGTTACTGGTATTAGGGGATTTGAATTATTGGAGGATTATGTTATTGGATTATTCTTAATGAAGGATTTATTATTTAGTTTTTTTTTTTTTTTTTTTTTTTTTTTTAGCTTTATCCTTTATTCTTATTTCTCTTTTGTATTCTATGCTTGTTTATTTCTTTAATTGTTTGATATTTTTCTCAGATTTAGGTTTAGGCTTGATCAACCCATGTCTTGGAGTCGAGGGACATCACATAACCCTAATACCTAAGGATGTAAGACACCCCACCCCTGTAAAAGAAATCCAAATGCCCTCGCGTAAAAGCCAAGCCAAGCCATAGCTGGCGATCTTATTTTTCTTTTGTATTCTATACTTGTTTATTTCTTTAATTGTTTGATATTTCCCTCGAATTTGGGCCTGATCAACCTATGTCTCGGAGTCGAGGAATATCACATAACCCTAATACCCAAGATTGTAAGACACTCCACCCCTGTAAAAGAAATCCAAATGCCCTCTCATAAAAGCCAAGCCAAGCCATGGCTGGCGATCTTATTTTTCTTTTGTATTATATACTTGTTTATTTCTTTAATTGTTAGATATTTTTTTCAAATTTAGGCTTGGGTCTGATCAACCCATGTTTCGAAGTCGAAGGATATCACAATACCCTAATACTCAAGGATGTAAGACACCCCACCCCGGTAAAAGAAATCCAAATGCCCTCGCGTAAAAGCTAAGCCAAGCCATGGCTGGCGTGATCCCCAAGCCAAACGATTAATAAATCACCATATCTCGTATACACACACCATATCTCTATATATGCAACACACCATATCTCTATACATACACACTGCGACATGGAGTTTTCAATATCTTGCTCGATCTGGCTGTATGCAATGGATGGGAAACCATCTTTTTCTCATTGCATTGCTTCAGAGGCTAATCTTGTCTTCTTCACCTCTCACTCATCATCAACACACAATTCTAACAATCAATCAAGGTATGTCGCTCCTCCACTAAAATTATATATTCACTTTTTTCTTTTCTTTTTTTATTTTATATATATATATATATATGAGCAAGATTATAAGTTCTAAATTTTGGGGTTTGTTTTCTTGAAACTGAAATCAGCGGTCTTCTTTTTCTTGGTAGTGTATTTATTTATTTTTTTTCAAATTATATTGCTAGTAAATTTGGTTTTTGACGCTTTTTATTGTTTTCCATTACTATTTGAAGAATGGTCTATATGTGCTGATTGCCTGTCGTACGGATTTGCTTCTTCTGTCAATCTTGATATGCTCGATCTCTTGCAAAAGTCCCCACCCAAAAGTATTGAGTGTTCGATCCCAGTGAGGGCAAAATAGGAGTGTGTACGTTTGCTTAACCACTTGGCAAAAAAAAAAAAAAAAAAAGGAACCAAAGTTGATCTTTCAATAGCAAACTTTGTGATTGTGTGCGTTTGCAGCCAATTTCATCTCTTGAGACTCCATTGCTAGCTTGATCAACCACCATTGCTCATGTGAGAAATGGTGAATAATCTTTACTAAAGTTGATCTTTCAATAGCAAACTATAGTAAGTGTGTTTTGTTTTGTTTTTCCCTTGGTTTTCTTTAACAGCTTTTTTTTTTTTGTTTAAAGTCAAGAAATACACGCATCACTCACACACCCACTTTGCTGCTTCGGGACTCGAATCATCACCATTCACTTTAGAAAGTAGAGGAGATACCACTAGGTTACAAAGCGAACAAATTATTTATTATTTTTTATATTTTTTTCTAACATCTTTAGGCTTGAAATTAAATAAAATTTATATACGTTTATAGATCTAACTTAGGTTTCCATCACTCACATTTTAATTTTAATAGATTATGAGAGGATTTATATCAATCTAAATTATACTTTATTAATTAATTCATCTTTATTTGAATTCACTGAATTAACCTTTTGGCATGCATCATTTTGGAATCTCTGCATTTCAAGTTTAGGGCATTTCAAGTTAATTTATTTGAATTCACAGAAATTATATATTCATGGCCCTGTAATGCAACTATCAACTTGGTTCATAACATGGTAAAAAAAAAAAATGGTTCATAACGTTGATTGGTAAATTTTCAAGGTGTATGAACAATTTTCTATCTTTGCATTCAAAGTAATACGTACTAAAATGATATGATATTGCTGGTTTGCTGAGCGCATCCATTCTTGATCAGCAACCATTTTTATTTTCTGTAATTCCCACAACACCGACATCGGAGTTCCGAATCTTTGAAGGAAAAAAGCAAGATGATCATCAAATTTTGTTAATTGATTTCTTTGCAGTTGTAGTTTGATTTCAAAATGGCTATATATATGAATTCAATCTGGAAATAACAGAAATTTTTTAATTTTTTAAAATAAAGAGTGATCATTCTTTTAACAATGATTTGCCACAGAATTAACATACTAGTGCACTATAAATTTCATGATGCTTAGGCCTATGCCATATATACTTCCTGCTCATTATGGACTTTGTTACATGTTTCTGTCACATTTGTGTGTTTGGACATTTCAACAAATTCTTCGAGTTTCAAAATTTGCTTCTTAAAACTTTTGTGATACAATAAATTATTGGTTACAATCAGTTTATTACAAAAAAATTGATCGTCAGAATGAGGATATTGGGTGAGCCGGGCATACCATGTGTCAAAACTGCTCTCACAAACTTATATAGTATTATAATTTCATTGACAGGGTATACCAATGACGTGGTAAGACTCTTCTTTTCATTTAACCTAAAAATGAAATGAAGTTTTGCATAAATGCATTGGCAGCTGAAGAAATAAAATTAAAAGATTGCCAGAGCTGCAATTGCCCCCATTATTGCCACAGGTAGTTGATAGCCATTGAGTCCGTTTGCCGAGCTTCCAGGTGCAGGAGCTGGAGCCCCACTCGATGAGTCATCATTGGAAGGTGTCGCCACAGCCGGAGATGTCGCTGTTTTGTTGTCTGACTTGGTTGTAGAATGAGCTGGAGCTGGGGCTGCTGGAGATGATATCGGTATTTTGTTGTCTGACTTGGTTGCAGAATGAACTGGAGATGGGGCTGCCGGAGATGATGTCGATGTTTTGTTGTCTGACTTGGTCGCAGAACGAGCTGGAGATGGGGTTGCCGGAGATTTCGCGGTTTTTTTGTGTGACTTGGTTGCAGAAGGAACCGGAGCTGCATTAGGTGATGCAGTAGTCTTTGCTGGTGAAGCTGCAGCTGCTTTCACGTCTACCTCCAATTTCTGTCCACCTTTCTCACAATGTTGTGGTATCCCACAAACGAACCATTTCTTTCCCAGCGACTCCAAAGAAATTACATCCTTTCCTGAACCTAATACCGGATTTCCCCGACTTTCCTGTGGGATAATGCAATTCTTGTAGGAATTTTCATCCACCTTAATCACAGTCTGAGCTCCTTGAGGATACTTGAAAACTGCAATATTCAAAATTTTATATACACTAGTCAATTTCCATATATATATATATATATATATATATATATATATATATATATATAACCTGGAACCATTATATCCAGGTGACCTTTGGTACACAGACTATAAAGTAGTGAATCCCGATCCCCTTCTATGTGGTTTAGGATAAAATTTTAGTGCAACACACTGTATCGTAGTGCAACACAATAACAATGTAATGACATGGTACATGATATGAAACTACAAAGTGGCACTAAGAAGGGTATAACCTGGAACCATTATAACCAGGTGACCTTTGGTACAAAAGGCTATAAAGTAGAGAACCCTGATTCCTTTCTATGATGTTTAGGATCTGTGATGCGTGTAGATTGTTAGTGCAACACACTGCATCGTAGTACAACACATTCATAAAAAATGTTGTTGCATAATAATGTAATGACACGGTTCATGGCATGGAATAAAATGACAAAGGAGAAGATTCGAGTTCTATTAATATATATGAAATTTAGAATGATTAATCAAGCAATTAGAATAATGAATGATTAAATGAATTACCTAGAGTGTCCCCAACGTGAAAGTCCTGTTTCTTAGCCCAACTTACATAATCAAATTTTACTACCCATCCTGCAGCATCTCCCACTATGATCTCTTTCGCGAAAGTGGCCACTGGAACGAGAGCAGCAACGACGAAGGCAATGAAGAGAACATTTTGGCGAGCCATTTATAGAGTTTGTGGTGGTTTGATTTGTTAAGGACTAGGGTGGTTGTTTGGCAGCTCAGGATGACCGAATAAATGGGTTTTGTTTAGAGATGAGCTAACAGAAAACGTTACAGGATTTTGTATAAATTCATTGGCAGCTGAAGCTGTGGCCACAGGATATATTCTTATGCCCATTTTTAGGTTCAAATTAATTACTGAGTTGAGAGTGAAGCTGTTGCCTTCTCTAATATTTTATTAATATATTATACTTTCAAGGTGTTATTTTATTTTCACGTAGACCAAACCCTTGGGCTTCTTTACGTTTTGTTTTAAAATTGAAGTCAATTAGTTCCGACCATGGTTCGCAATATTGGTCAAGGTTGCGGTATCGGTCGCGATTGTGGTGTAATGAATTCGGATGAAGTCAGTGTAAATTGGTTGATACGAGTCGTGTATCGACCAATATTACGTCGCGTATCAGATGATATTGTGAATCATGGTTTCGGACTATGTACGTAGAGTCATGTATTTCAATTTTTAGTTATTGTAAGGTGATACGATATTAATCATCATCTCAACTGTTCTAAAAGTTTAAGTAGTTAGATAAGATATTGTAATTTAAATATACTCAACGCATGAAAAATGATAAGATGACAAATAATTGTCAATGCTACAGCAACCTTAAATGTGTCTTGCTTCAGCACCCAAGCTGTCCAAAGTTCCAAACTAATATTTCTTATATATATATAAAATTATACCTATCATATTATATTGGGCTAATACTATATTACAATAGCTGATTTTCATTGTTATTAGGTTGGTTGGGCATTTTTTTTTTTTTTAAATAATAATAATAACTAAAATATTTGATGTATTTGGGTTGGGCTGGGCTAATCTTATATTACAAAAGGGCAGATATTTTATTGCTGATGGAATTGGGCCTAAACTAAACTATTGGGTTTAAAACTAAAGGTCCAATAGTTGCTCTAGGACAAATTTGGGCCAAGGAAAATTAATAATATTTCATTATTATGCAGATAGATAACATTTTACCTTAAAATATGAACCAAAGTATTATGGGCAGCAGTTGTTTCTTGCTTCCCAAGTCCCAACAAATTAAAGCTAGCAGATAGATTTATACCAAATATCAATATATATTTATTTTTTTGAAAGGTTCAAAAAATAATAATAATAATAATAATAATAATAATAAATCATGAATTAGTTGGTGATTGAGATCATCCAAACAAAATAAAATATATATATATATGGTTGTGCACATCTGTTTCTCTCTTTGTACTAGTCCTGGAAAAGATATGGATGACAAAACCAAAGAAATAATTTTTAAGGAAAGTGTCGCCCCACAGTTTTAACAGTTTTACCTTCCTCTTTTAGTACTACAGTGACAATTACTAGTGAATAAGACGTTGTATCAAATGACGAAAAATTACTAATTTTGAACTTCAATTTATTGAATTATTTTGTTAAATGTAGTGTATTTTTATATGTTGAAGTTTATGTGCAAGGTTGAAAGAAAACTATTTTCTATACTTTCAAATTTAGAGTCAATATATACATAATTCTTTTGCAATATAATTGGGTGTTTGGCTGGAATTGATGTGTTCTTATTACAGAAGAATTTGCTTGAGTTTGCAATATAGTTGGGTTTGGAATACTAAATAAACTCAATTGGTAATTTAATTAAAATTAAAATTAGTTATTTTAGTTAGTGGAAGAAAAAATTAAAATTATTAGAAGAATTTTAGATTGGAAACCAATTGGTATTTTATTTTAGTTAAACTAAAATTCGTTATTTTAGTTAAAATTAAAATTTATAGTACAAGAATTTTAAATTGAAAACCCTATTGAATTAGTGAAATAATTTTAAATTGGAAAACCATTGGCATTGTACTTTAGTTAAAATTAAAATCAGTTAATTTAGTTAACATTAGAATTAATTAAAATTAGTAGAAGAATTTTAAATTAGAAACTCAATTGATATTTTATTTTAATTAAAATTAAAATTGGTAAAAGAATTTTTATACAAGTTAATGATTTGAAAATCTTATACTTTTATTATTAGTATATATATAAGGTTACAGTTTGAAATTGATGTGAAAAACTTTGAAACTATGATTTATTTTAGTATCTGACAAATTAAATGGTAGAATGTGTAGATTATGTAACTAGGGAAAAATAAAATAGTAGAAGGTGTATATTATAAATTCTATTTAATCCAATGCGACTTTTAGTTAGGTGAAAAACGAAGTATTACGCATGTTCGTATCCTTGATTATCGTCGCAGACAAACTTGATAATAGCAGTTATATACTAAGTAAGTAATTATTCTTGATAGTCACCGAACAATATTTATTCACGTGTGTGTATATATATATATATATATAATGGAGATCGGTTTTATATATATTTAAAGTGGAAATATATAGTTTTTAACATAAACCCTTTCCTATCTAACTAGAAAACGAGATCTAACCATATGATATTTATAGCTCATTTTCACCTTCATATATATTTTTTAAAAATTTTCTACGCTTACAAAAATCTATAATTTTATTTATTATATTTTCATTCTAAATATCTAAGATATTTTAGTACAATTTAGTCAAGTGATAATATCTAGAAAAATTTAGAATAAATTTTACAAGCTTTTAAAATATTTTTTCAAGACTTACTTTAGAAAGATTTGAAAATTTTTATCGAATTATGTAACAGTAACACAAGTAACACAATCACCAAATAATACATTACATTGAGATGCAACAGTGCAATAATTTTACTTTCAATATGTAATACTTAAATTTACATTGTCGATGGCAATGTTGACATGAACAAAGTAATTTACAAAAACTTAAATAGAAGACTATTGGAATCATTTGTTAAGAATTTATGTTACTTTGACAAATGGTTTAATTTGGGATAGAATTGATTGTAAAAAATTAAATTTACATACACAAGGTGACATGAAACTGCTTACTTTTTTTTATTTTTTTATTATTATTATTATTTTTTTTCTCCTTGAATTTTTTACGTCAAATTACTAAAAGGGCGTCAACCTATATAACATTAACTATGAGCCTTTTTATTATTTTGATAATTTTAAGGTGAAATTATTTGTTTCTCGTGATAGTCAATCTACGAAGCACGGATTCGTATCCCTTATTCGTATTTGTGCTCTATTTTTTTGAATAGAGTAAATACATTTTATTGGATTCATTCACACGGACTCCACCAAATGTACCTAAAAAAAAATGTGTTTTTGATAGATTTAGAAGTATTTTTCAAATAGATTTGGAAATTTGAAAAAAATAAAAAAATTATTGTACACTAAGGTGCTGTTTAATAAAACTAAAAATTAAGTGTGAAAATTTTAAAAGTTGAATTTTAAATGTTGAAGTTTTTAAGTGGTAATTAAAAAATAAATATCTTTTTAAACCTTTTTTTTTTTTTTTTTTAAAAAAATTTAGTATTATCACTTAAAATTTTACCTTATTTTATGTGAGGTTGACATTTTTATTGATATTCAAATTATATAATTAAATATACTTAATTAAATAAACACTTAATTAAATTAACAAAAGTCAAGAAGCATAAGCCACTTATATTAGGTGATGATTTAATAATTTATTGCTTAAAAATATCATTCCGTGTTATAAATATAGTCAACAAAATGTTATGTACAGATATATACATTTCCACATCAAAATATGAACGAACAAAATTCAGGTGACTACAAGTCCCAACAAAAGCCAGCAGAAAGACACCCCATTCTAGTCATGAAAAAGATATGGATGACAAAACCAAAGCAATTTAAGGAGAGTGGGTCGCCCACGGTAGGCCATGTATAGATATATACCGCTTGACTCAATAGTTAAGATATATGCCTTAAATGATTTTGAAAATTTGGAAAAAATTACAAAATTCAATCTTGCATATTCAACTTTTTGTTGTGCACATCTGTTCCTCCTTTTTTTTTTTGCCTACTGGAATAGCTCACCTAAATACTTTTAAAATCAGGCGTTCGGAGTGACACAGGAACAAGGACTGATCTATCTCTAATGCTAACTGTAAAAGACATTTATCCAAACTTAAGATGTTGAGTAGTACTGCATATTTACCCATTTATAATCATTTCATTTTTCATCCAGATCCGATGTGGTACAAATATCCCTTATAATTTAAGTTACATGAGTGGGAGCAAATTCGAGAGTGAAAACGTGAGAACAACAAAATTATATCATAAATAATAAGAATTTAAATAAGAATACTTACTAGCGACACCAATTAAAAAAAAATTGTGTGACTTGATCATAACACCTACCGTCACATCCAACAGCTAAAGACCGAAAATACAAGTACCCGATATATTATAGAAATTTGCAAATCAACTATATACGGTTAATGATGCATATGAAAACAAAATCTTAAAGAAAGAGGTTTTCGCCCACTGTTTTAAGACAATACTACTAGTTGAAGATATATTAATACGAATAGAATTGGATTCATTGTATTCGTTACAATATATCAAGCCCAACGTCACACTTCATCAATCCCCAAATCTTATCTATTTCATCCATAGGCGGTCTTCTTTTTCTCTCCCCAAGCCTCTCTATAAAAGCCCATTAAATATTAGGCTTGTTGGTATCACTCGGTGCCTAAGCCTTTGTACTATCCAAGTCTCTATAAAAGCCCATTAACTTGGTGCCTCAAGTACTACCATCTATCTATACATCCATGGCCTCCCTCCCCAACACCAGTGCCACAAACATGGCTCCGGTCATGAGCAACGGCACCGGAGAGCCAGACAGTTTCGACAAGTTCTTCGAGTCGTGGCTCGTCGAACAGAACCGAAACCTCCAAGAACTAGTCTCCGCTTCCACCAACAACCACAACCAAAGTAGTACTACTACAACTGAGTCACCTCAAGGGGACCAACACCGAGACCGAGCCTTGCCCGCCCTTATCAACCGAGTGGTACTGCACTACGAGCAGTACTACGAAGCAAAAGCCAGCTGGGCCAACCACAACGTGTTGCCTATGTTGTCCCCGCCATGGCTCAGCAGTCTCGAGGACACCTACCTATGGATCGGCGGGTGGCGACCTAGCATGGCCTTTCACTTGCTCTACTCCAAGAGCGGTTTACAGTTCGAGGCCAGACTCGCCGAGTTCTTCCTGGGCTTCCCCTCCGGTGACTTGGGCTATCTTTGTCCCACTCAGCTATATCAAGGTATTTATTGTGTTACTAGACTTTTTTAATGTATAAAAATTAAATATTAAAAAAAAAATGAGACTTTTGAGTTAAACTTATTCGAATTTTATTTGATGTCAGTTAATGAGCTGCAGATAAAGACGTTAAGGGAGGAGCGGGAGACCACCGAGAAAATGGCTAAGCAGCAGGAGACCGTAGCCAACACATCGATGGTCAATTTGTCTCACGTGGCGTCGGATTTGATGAGGAGTGACCAGGAGAGTACTCAGGAGCGAGTTGAGGAAACGAAGGACCGAGTTAGAGTGGAGGTAGCCCACAAGAAGGAAGGACTGGGGGAGGTGCTGCACAGGGCGGATGATCTACGGCTGAGGACGCTCAAAGGGGTGATTGATATTTTGACTCCAATCCAGGCCGTCCATTTCTTGATTGCTGCTGCTGAGTTACACTTGAGGCTTCATGACTGGGGAAAGATGACGGAGGCAGAGTGATCTCACTAGTATCTTTCAACAGATTCCATACGAGTTCTTAATAGTTTTAATTTATTTTAAGTTTATTTCAAGTTTGGTTGTTTTATTTTAAGTTTAGTTGTTTTAATTTAAGTTGTTTTAAGGTCTTGTAATATGTTATCGTATGTCACCAACTTTTTTATCCCTGTAATAGAATATGTTAAAAACAACTTTACATTTGTTCGTGAATAAACATATTAATGGTGTGTGTTCGCTTTTTAAAAGCAAGTATCACACGACAAAACTTAGTTAAGGATAAGTCCAAGAGAGTGAACATGAGAGTAGTGAAATAAACATACTAGAGGAGGACAAATCTTAAAATATTAAAACATGGAAGAAAAATAAAAAAATAAACTTGCATTTACAAATATGAATAAATATATAATGATAATAAAATAAATTAAAAAGCAATTGATTCTTGAATATAGTCGAAACCTCCTCTCACGAGTTGAAAGGATAATGACAGCTCAAAAATGGCTGCTCCAGGTAGTGGGCGTATATCATTGCCAACAAAGTCTTTTATGCTTCGTTTGGTTGGAAGGAGGAAAAAGAATGTTTTCATCGTTAGGTTGGTATGGAAGAGACCTGTCTTTTTTCGTTTATCCGAAAATAAACAGAAGAGAGGAGGAAAAGAAGGAATAATTATTACAACAAAAGTGATCGGAAAAAATGTATTTGTGAATCTTGTATCTCTACTCAAGTAGCAAGGGCCATTCAAGACATGGTGCAGATCGGGAGATGAAGTCGGAATTGCTTCAGAAATTTCATTGGGTTGCTTCATGATGTCCAATCACTAAACTAGCTAGGTAAAGAGATCTTAAAGGACCTTGGATTTATGTTGGTTAATTGATACTAGACTGGTCTACCTCTGAACTAGGTTTTGGACAAAATAAATTAAGTATCATTTTTAAAAGGCAATTCATGAAGGTTGAAAATGTTTCCGAAAAAACACAGTAAGCAACAACACTGTATTCAGGACTTCACTTTTATGCAATGAAAACACCTATTTCTCTCTTCAATGGTCGATGTTCTTCAGATCAAGAACAATGCACTCCTTAATTTTTAATTATGGTGGAAACATTTTATTATGCATGTAAGAAATATTACTTAAAAAGACTAGGATTAAGTGCAGAAAATCCCCGTACACTATAGATTTTGTGCAGACTGACTCCCTACTTTTGAAAATTGAGTATTGTCGGTCCCTATTTTTGAAAAAAAAAAAAAACGGGTTTAAATACACCCCTCCGACCACTTTTTGGTAAAAATTGGCATAAAGTAATTTCGATATCCCAATTTTGCCCTTTTCAATTTCCATATTGCCTCCCTACCCATTCTATCTCTCCATACGCCTCCTCTCTCTCTCTCTCTCTCTCTCTCTCTCTCACAGTTGCTTGCTACTCCATTTTTTGTGTTTACACACACACACACACACACACGTAGTCAATTAACCAGCTTGCTCCTTCAAGCTTGGTCCCCTTGCCTTGAAGCTAAAAGAAAAGTTGTATTCACATAATTGTCGCTTGCACCTAAAGTCAAATTAGATGAATGCATTGACAATAATTTTAAGAATTTGCCAATGGACTAGAGACATTAAGTTAATCTACGGCTAAAATGATGTGAAGAATCTGGTCTGGTTCAGTTTGGTTTTTTAGTTTTACTGGTTTTTTGTTTGCAAGTGTAAGAGAATTCATCATAGCCATGCTAAAGACAGAGAAATTGAACGTCATGAAAAAAATAATAATTTTGGAGGCACAACAATGGTTGAATACAGAAACAAGTGGATTCACAATTTAGAGATCCACAATCACTTTTTAAAAGTAGTTGAGATCTTTCATAAAGTGCAAGTATATTGACAACATACAAGGGCTAGTTCTAAACGAGTCATTAGTCTCAGCTCGTGTTTGATTCAAGGACTCCACATAAAGAATGCCTCTTGAGAATAAAATAAAACACACATATAAAACAAAAACAACTCTAAACATAATTGCGTTATATTAATACTATGTTTGGAAACATCGAATCACTATAAAATTGGAATTGGAGAGAATTTAATTTAAAATTTCAACCAATATTTTCTTCAATTCCAACTTTAAGGGATCAATTCGTACTTCCAAACACAACAAATTTAATTAATCAATATAAAAATTTAATTAATCAATATAACTTAGGTGTTATCTTAGATTGAATCTTGTTTTACGTCCATTTCAAAGAATCGTTTTCGAAACACACATTCAATCAAGCAAATTACCAAATCGAAATAATTTTTTTCCCACTTTAACAAAATCAAATATACTACGTTCTAGCAACAAAAAATCCTTATGATTGAAAACATGTAGAAATATGAAAGTCCTCATCACCAGAAACATGGTTTGAATATATATATATATATATATATATATATATATATATATATTTGTGTGTGAGAGAGAGAGAAAGAGAGAGGGGTTTGAATTATTTTGTGTGTGTGTGTGTGAGAGAGAGAGAGAAAAGATCATGAAAAAGCAATTTAGCAAAAATTTTACACCTAACATTCAAAAAGCTCTTACAACATCTTCTCCTCAAATAAGAGGTTGAGGGGTTGTGAGTCCCACGATAAATAAAAAACAATGTTCATAATGTTCAATGAACTTATTTACAAACATCAAAACACCATCATGTAAAATACAATGTAGCAAAATAGATATTACAAAATATTTACAAAAACATTAAAATGGTTGATACAGTACTTCCTTCGTCAAAGGAGAGGTGAGGGATTCGAGCCCCACAGTGAATAAAAAAAGCAACGTTCAAAAAACTCAACCAACTTATTTACAAAAATCAAAACATATACTATATATATACACATACACAAACAAATTAATGTAGCATTTTAAATATTGATTCATTCCTCAGTAATAATTCCACCACTATATAACCCATTAAATTTCTTGTGAGAGGTGCTCGATGGATCAGCAAATCGAGCAGAGAAGGACCTACACAGACCCTCTGGCTCAGACCTCCATGAACCTTCATCAAAATTCTGCGAATATGTGTCTGGATCATATGAAGCCCCCTGCATTGAATTAGGAGTACTAGAATTGCTACCACTCTTCTCCTTTCTCTTCATTTTCCTCCAAAATTTCAGCCAACTTAGCTTTGATTCATACTCTCTGTGCCCTATTCCCGCGCTTCGGCTCCGCGAACTGTGCCAATTTTTTATCCCCATTGCACCACAGTAGCAAGATTTTTTTTCTTGTTTGGTACCTGAAATTAAGCTCCAAGAGAGAGAGGGAGAGAGAGTTTGTTGAAGACTCAATCTCATGGTAATGTGATTTTTATATGTGTGTTATGTGTGTGTGTGTGAGAGAGAGAGAGAGTGTGTGTTAAAAATGATTGAGTTAGTGTTTTTTGATCATTTGATGGGTAGGCAGCTCTTAGGCCAAAATTAGGTTGGCTTGGGTGGAAGGGAAGTGTTTTGAGTTGTCTAAGTTTATCTAAAATAATTGTATTTAAGGAAATTTGTTATTATCCAGTGGTATTTAAAGAAATATTATGCAGACCGATCAATTTTTATTAAAAACTAACAAAGTTTTTTAAACTTCAACTAATATCCAGTAGTTACACACCATACTAAAATTATGTTCTATAAAATAGAAAATACATTTCCTTATTTATATACCAAAATGACTAGTAATAGATCTCATTGGCTATCCTATACATTTCCTTATTTATTTTAATTTATTTTTAAAATTAATTTTATTTATGTAGAAACGAAAATAAAAAAGTATCAATTTTATTTTTTCCTTTTGTTTTAAAATCTTCTCTTACTATATCTGCCAAACCTAATTTAAAAAATATATAAAAAAAATGGCCCAAATCTGTGAATAAATTAGTAAAATTGGGAAGTGGAAGGTTACTGACTTATTGGCTAAGAGGCTCACTGGCTCAAGCCACCAGAGCCGTTGAGGGTTTGAAAACAAAATGCAGGAAAGGCAGCAAAAAGCAGAAGACAGCCCGCCGAAAGTCTCTCTCTCTCTCTCTCTCTCTCTCTCTCTCTCTATATATATATATATATATATATATATTCGAGAAAGATGATTTCTTAGGAAAAAAATTCTGAAGTTTGGTAGGAAAAATAAAATAAAGCAAAAACACAGAAATGGTGAGGTTGAAAACTTCAAGGATCAGAAGAGTTCAAATGCATAAACAACCTATTGCTCTTATTGGCGAGCCAAAGGGCTTTCCACATTAGCGAGTTTTTCGGCTAGCCAAATGTCCCCCATGTCTTATTTTTTTAAATATTGCAATGAGTGGACTCTTGTGATAGCCAGCCAATGGGGCCATATTTTCTCACAATGAATACTTCTTTTCTCTCTCTTTTTAATAAAAATTAATAAAAGTGACTAACACCGCATCATCAGCTGCTAGCCATCATAAGTGAAGAGTCAATTGACTAACACCATATCTAAATACTCAATAGTATAATCTTGTAACTTTGTAATACTGATAAAATATTCAAGAAGATAAATTAAACAAAATTGGACATTCTATAAATACTGCAAGTGTTATTTGATAATTTAATTCAACGCTAGATTCATAGTCCTTACTTATCCACAAATTATACATAAATTAAAAAATAAGTGTTGTTTAAGATAAGATAAAATCCACAAATTATATATAAATTAAAAAATAAGTGTTGTTTAAGATAAGATAAAATTTTAAGTGGCTATTACATAATTTGGAATAGAATTTAAACACGTAAAAATCACCAAAAGTACTTCTTCACTTTTCATTATAAATAAGTAAAAGGTTAAAATTAATAAAAGTGACTAACACCGCATCATCAACTGCTAGCCATCATAAGTGGAGAGTCAATTGACTAACACCATATCTAAATACTCAATAGTATAATCTTGTAACCTTGTAATACTGATAAAATATTCAAGAAGATAAATTAAACAAAATTGGACATTCTATAAATACTGCAAGTGTTATTTGATAATTTAATTCAACGCTAGATTCTAAACATAGTCCTTACTTATCCACAAATTATATATAAATTAAAAAATAAGGGTTGTTTAAGATAAGATAAAATTTTGAGTGACTATTACATAATTTGGAATAGAATTTAAACACGTAAAGATCAGCAAAAGTACTTCTTCACTTTTCATTATAAATAAGTAAAAGGTTAAAATTCAGAGAGTTAAGTACTGTGTGAATATTTTTTTGTCAAGATAAAAAGAATTTGAATAAAAATCAATTTACTCACTTAAAACTTTACTCTCTTATGCTCGCTAGGAAATAAGAGGTAATAAATTCTGGGCCTATTTGGTTTTCAATACAAGAGCCAAAAAAACATAAAATAGTTGAAATTCAAAATTCATTTAGTCGACATTTTTTTGAAGAACAATTTTCTTTAGTAGGTTAAAATAAGAGTGATTTTTGCTTTTAATAATAGTCAGGAAACTGTTTTCTATTTTAAAAATTATATATATATATATATATATATAAACTGTTTTTGAAAAATTGAACCAAGAAATGAACCAAGTCCTCTTTTCCAAATCAAGAAGAACAACACTGCAAGACAACAAAAACCTTAAACCCTTACATACAAATACAACAGTTTGCCTAATAAAATAGAAGTGACAAAACACAAGTTTCCTAACAAAGCAGAGATCAGAGATTGTCACGAACCCCCATTCAGTTTGTGTGATTGTGTGATCAATCTGAGTCTTTCATAAGCATCCGAACAAGCATGAGAGTAGTCTGACATAGCCCGGAAAAGCTCAGGCAGCCGAGTTTTGAGGCTCCCCAGTGACTTTTCCCTCACCTGAATACAGTGCTTTTGGTGATCTTCCACTTCCTCTTCCAACCTCTTCTTCAAGCTGTCCACTGCAAACTGCTTCTCCGAAATGGGATCTTTGGGATTTGTAGTTTCACCTCTCTCGGGATCCGTTTCATCAGGTGGGGTTCTCTTTTGCATGTACTTCTGATACCAATCATCAAAGGCCTGGTTCTTGCGCAGAAACTCTTTTCTAGTTTCCTGGCACTTCTCCTTCAGCTTCATTTCTTCATCCTGGTGGACTGTAATGGTTTTTATCACAGCAGCAAAGGAGGCAATCGCGCTTTTGGCAAGCTCATCAGGTAGCTTCTCAAGAAGGTCGTGCCAAGACTGGAGTAGAGGTTGGATGGGGGGATTCTTGATTCTGGGTGGTGATGAGATTTTCTCTTTCAGGCTGCTTTCTATGGGGATGAGGTTTAACTTCAACCAGCTGTTAAGGGCTTGAACGTAATTTTTTTGATTAATCACGAGCTTTTCAAATTGCGAATGCCATTCCTGGACGACATTCAAAAGCTGGACAGTGCGGTCATGGTGATGCTTGGTGGTTTCCTTGGGGGTTTCGGAGGCATCAATGGATTTGAGGTCTATAACAATCCTGAGCTGATTGTCGTGATGTATGCACATGGATTCCCACATCTTTGCCATCCTGCAATTTAGTTACCAAAATCCTGTCATAAATGAACTTTGTTCTGCTTTTGCACTTAAACTGAGATTGTTTATAAACAATTCAACATTCAGACAACCGGAAACTACTCGCCAGTCTTATAGACAACCAAAGAGAGAGAATCTGATCAAGCTTTATTTGAAAAACCAATTATTTAGGCAACTCTAATGTTTGTGATGTAGGACAATTTTATAGACTTTTGCCTAGTATAGTTCGATGAGATTGTTTCGACTCGAGAAGATCCATTCCCAATCAGAAACGACCCAATAAGCAACACACTATCTTCAGCTAATGGCGCATGTAATTTTTTGGCCAAATTTCATCATTTAGGGCTCCGATATCGTATTTTTTTAGTCTTATAAGGAGTCTGTTGACTGATAAGGAGTCAGTTGAATATATCAGAATTTTTGTTGGACGTCTAAACGAACTCGAATTATTCTGATTTTATCTTGATTTATTAATTAGGTTTTATATTCTATTTTTTCATAATTTCTAGAGACAATTCCAAATTGGACTATTTTTAAGATTCCTTTTGTTTTCAGATTTCTTTACTAATAAAATTACATGTAATGCAAGAGCAAAATTAATTCATCCACTATTCATTAACAAAATATCAAAATTGATTTCCCTTAACTTTGTGAATTCAAAGTGGTTTCATGGTTCCTTTGTGAACGTTCATAACTTCTGCTTCGTCAGTTGGTCTCAGAGCTTGATTCTACCCTGGTCTGAAGGCGAACGAAGGTTTCAGCAGCAACTTCCTTGGCGACGATGATCGCAAAGCGAAGGCCACTTGGGCAGCCATGCGTACTCAAGATTCAAGAACAGCGATTTGATCAACGGTCTAGATAGATTGCTGGTGTTGGGATTGGTGGCAACCAAGTCTGTGGTCCAATTTGTGATCGTGTTGTCGATGTTCCTCACAGCCAATCAAACATTGGCTATGTTCATGTACCTCCACATAGGCCTCCAGCCTATGTGGAGTATTCTGATGTTGAGAAGTTGTGATAAATCGGCGATCAAGGTAGACGTGATAGAAAGAGAGTCGGTTTGTCAACGTATATATACCGAGGAGTTTTCCAGTAGAGAGAGTGGCATAAGGATAAGAACAATTGTGTGAAAGCAACCAGTGATTTAACGCGATTTCGTGAGCAAAATTCCGTTGCTTCACCTCTTGTAGTTGAAGATGGCTCGAGAGAACTAAACATGGAACATTACGAAGAAGACAGCAATGAGTTGTTCAGCGTGGGACTTGGGGACACTTACTGCCCAAGTAATGACATAGACTCGTGTTTGAAGGATCAAGATAACCTGAGCACATGATCACACATGCTAGGGGTGCTGGCATAGTTTGTGTCCAGAATATGTTTGATCATCTGATTGAGAGCGAGCGGGGTCTACTTGTTCTCGTGGACATTGTGCACATCCATTACCCAAATAATACATTGGACAAGCTGAACAAGCTTGGTAGACCCAATAATCATTACTTCCATTCTAGATCACAGGGCTATTATTGGATATGGTATTCACGCCTATTCAACCATGGATAGAGGGAAGTACCAAGGTTTCTTCTTTCAAATGCAACATGTCGGTTGGATGAATACAAGTCTGATAGGTTGAGATTTGAGGGCTTGACTTCAATGAATTGCAGGTAGCATCATTGGAAACTACAATCAGTATTTTGTTACGCAACTAACATAGATGCTGGGATTTATTTGATGCCGGTTAATGATCTTATTCATGGGCTCTTTTCTAAAGCTGTTGTGGTTGGTGAGAATTATCATAAGAAGTTGAAGGAAAGAGAATAAATGGGTGAAAATTTGGAAGCAAGTTTATGAAGCGTTAAGATGAAGTCTTCAACGCTATGAAATCTTGTTCATACTCATATATGACGAGACGAGTCAATTTATTTGCAACCAAACTTGAGAAAAAGGTTTTTTTTTTAATTTTATTTTATATAAAGTGGAGGGAATTAATGCAAGGACAGTTTTATCGATACAGTTCGATCAAATCATTTGGACTCGAGAAGACCCATTCTCGATCAAAGACACAATAAGCAAAACACACTAGCTTTACCTAGTGGAGCATGTCCTAACTCACATAATTCTTCTAAACAGGTGCCGTTCCCACGCTTTGTGTGCGCTCCCGCTCTTGCGCTCCACGCACGTTCTTGCTCCCAATCCTACTATGTATAACTTAGATTTTGCCGCTTTCACGCTTCCGCTCCCACACCCGCACCCGTTCTGTGACTTAGAGCGGGTCATTTTTTTGTTCAAATTCCATTGTTTTGGATCCCGAAATCGCGTTTTTTAGTCCTATAGGAAGACTATTGAATATCTTGGGATTTTTGTTGGAGGTCTATACGAACTTGCATTATTTTGATTTTTTTCATTTATCTTAATTTATTGATTAGATGGTAGGCCTTGGCACAACCAAGGATGGATCCAAAAAATTGTGTGAGGAGGGGGTAGTATAATTTCAAAGGTATATGTGTGTGTGTGTGTGTGTGTGTGTGTGTGTGTGTGTGTCTGAAAATGAATAAAATAGTAGGATATATTACTAAAAAAAGAAAAAAATTCACTGGGGGCAATTGGCCCCACTGACTTGTTAATACATCCGTCCATGGGCGCAACGGTAAGGTTGCTCCATTGTAACCTGAAGCTCACGGATTTGAAATCAGAAACACTCCCCATGTGGAGGTATGGCTGTCTACATCTGACCCTCCCCAGACCCCAAAATGGCGGGAGCCTCGTACACTGGGCTAGCCCTTTAGCCCTTCATTTATTGATTAGGTTTTATCTCCTATTTTTTCCTAATTTTTAGAGACAATTCCAAATTGAACTAATTTTAGTATTCCTTTTGTTTTAGGATTTCTTTACTAGTATAAATACATGTATTGAAAGAGCATAATTAATTCATTTATTATTCATTAATAAAATAACAGAATTGATTTCTCTTAACTTTGTGGATTCAAAGTTGTTTCATCAAGAATTTGCATTTTTTACTAGGATTTCTTTACTAGTACATAGATTCCGCTTCGTCAGTTTGCTTCAGAAGTGCAACAGTTGCATAAAGAAAAAACTGCACTAATCACCTTAATTCAGAAGTGCAGCAGTAATCTAATAAGATGGTGAGGTCTCACTGGGAAATCTAATACAATATAAAAGTTACAGAATGCAAATTCTTTATGCATAACAGATATATTGAAGGATCAAGATGGTATCAGATATTTGTCAAGCAAAAAAAGTACCATGAAAAGAAAAAGAAAAAAAAGAAAAAAAAAAAAAAGAAAAAAAAAAAGAAAGAAGAAGTAAATTCATATATGCCATACTTAATTCTGCAAGGAAACTTACCCATCAACAAGAGCAACAAGTTTTGGGTACAACTGATCATCACGTATGTGATCTACTTCTGACACTGTTGAATCCAAGGACTGCATGTCAACTATATATCTTGTATGCAAATGGCTTACAGCTGCCTTGGTCTTCTCCAATGATTCAGGAGGACCACCACGTTTTTTCACCTTGTTCAGCTGAGCAACCTTCCTCTGATACTCAAGCTTCATAAGCTCACCTGCCTACAGCAAGAAGCAAATTACAATAAGATTCAGCATGATATTGACTACAAAAAAACATAAAAAATATAAAAAAGGTTTCCACCACCAGATTTATGAAAAGTGAACATATAATATACATGTATCAACTTTGCAAATAACAGGCATGGCATCTTATTGGAAAAGGAAGTTGTTGGCCTAATTTCCTACCGTAATTCATTTCGTAAGATAAATTAATAACAAATAGTTACAATTCATGGCTAAAGAATAAGCAAATATATGATGCAAAAACTAAAGAGGGAGGAACCATTAAATGATCATAAATGCACAAGAAGATAGAGAAAGAAGATGGGTAAAAAACGAACCAAATGAAATAAAGCAATGTACCTTTACTTCATCAAATAACTTTTTCTCCCAAGCTAGCAACTTGTCCAGAACAGTGGCATGTGTCTCATACTCTTCTGCATCAAAATCGTCCTTCCCACCATCACCATTTGGTGCACCTCTAAACGATCTATTCCATGTAATTACACGCATGACCCTTGCAGCATGATCAATGTGTCCTAAAAAACATATAGCACAATAACTTACTTTGCAGAAAATTAGTTGCACATTTACCAGCTAACAATAACAAGATTAATAATAAAATTAGTAGCAGTTTGGAAACTTCAAGAGGTGGTCCAGCCCAAATCCTAATTCATTTGTCATCATGATTTGGATCTTTTGATTGATATTCAGTTGTTGAGTAAATTTAAAGGTGTAACACTAGAGGTACCCCAGATGAGTTGCTCATGTTAAGCATGGGATCACAGTTGCCCACTTCTGACATTATTGCATGGCTCTTACGGAAAGTTGAACTGGAACAAGTGGATGGATAATTACAGAAAGAATTAATTCGAGGTAGTAAAAAGAAAGACTTCACTAACTTATCAAAAAATTAAAAAAAAAAATGAAAGACTTCACTAAATACATGTTAACATAAAACCAATCAGCCTTTTCCATGAGCAGACCTAATTTTTGGGTATTCCAAACAACCCCTAACATTATCTATGAATTAAATCCATAATCCCAGTCAAATATATGCAATAAGTTCTTTTAACAACCCTTACATTAATGTCACACTTTGATGTTGTATCCAGCTGCCTATCATGACAATTTGAAAGATTCCACAGCAGTACTGACATGACTCTGGTATGACCCTTCGTCCAATGGATATAATGAGAAAAGATAACTATCTCTATAACTCTGAAATTATATTACAATCAACAATCAAAATTAAGTCAGAGAGAACTCCAAACACATACTGCTAATCAGTTTCTTCAATTCCAAACTTAGAAGGTAAAAATAGTTCTGAGGTTCGGGATGGAGGAGAAACAATTTCCTTTTGTTGACTTTGAGAGAAAATCAAATCAAGAGTAAAGTATACGAAGAAGAAGAAAAAGAGAAGAAAGAGGATGAGAGAAAAAGAGAGAGAGAGATGGGGAAAGAGAGAAAGAGTAAAAGAATACTTTCATCCTTCCACCAAATTCTATTTATACTAACAAGTTTCAGAAATTACACATAAGCCCCAATATTATATAAGTAATAACAAATAAGCCCCTGACGGGCCTGACAACACCTTTCTCTTTTCCTTTTAATAAATGATGCAGGCGAGTCAGGTGACACTAAAATGGGCACCTTGGTTTGTCAACTGAATCCAGTATTTTTGAACTGAACATGAACGTAGTTGGCCAGGTACTCGTCAATCTAAAGCAACCATTAAAGTGACATTCTTTACCTACCTTCCAAAGATATGATACATCAAATTCTCTGAGAACTTCAAGATGGAGACAGAAACTCTGAATGCACACTGTAAAGCAGCATGCATACAGAGCATTCTCTATGGATTCAGAGAGAATCCTTAATGTACACTTTTAAACAGTTTGCATACACAACAGTCTCTTCACTTTTAAACAAACATAAAACAAAATAAAATAATCCTAAGGCACATTGTTAGGTCAATAGGATTTAGTTGGCAAATTTTGTCTAAACCTTGAAATTTGTAATATTATTTTAGTTTTTTATTAGTTTTTCATCTAGTTAGTTGAGTTACCTCTATCCAAGGACAAATATGGAATTACAAGTTACAGGCAAGCGCAAAAAGGTAATTACAACTGTCAATTACACACTTCCAAATTATAGTTCAAATTCATTTGCATTCATCTCATTAACATGTTAGGCTTTTTAAAATTACATGCTTTGATCATTAAAAATCTTTTTTAGATTGCCTGAAGTATTTTTGGAAGTTAATTCTAATACATTCGGGACAGGGCAACTTCAATCGGTCAAGGGATCAACCGAAGGCTGGTGTAGCTTCAAACGATCAAAACTTGCTTTGCTCTAACAAAAGCTGTGAAATTCATTTTCCAAATTGAATTAAACACTAGCAACTTTAATCCTTTGTACTTCTAAACTCTATATAAAAAAAAAACCTTTTATTTTCAGAAAACCGATGTAGAAGTACAACCACATTGAATGTGTTCTAGCAATCCTATTGCTAGAGTTTTCTTTGTTTTTTGTGTTCATCGTCATACATCTAGATTGCGAGCAGGATCTGAGTACTGAACTTCGAAGATCCCAGTGCTACAAGAACGTTAACACTGGAAACATATTCCACATATCTACATGAAGAATGGATGATACTAGTCATGGATATAATTGTGCTAAAGGAGCGGATCGCGTGAATGGTGGAATTGTTTTCTGGCAGCAGCAAAAATCGTTGGATTGTCTGACAGACTGACACGAGACTAGGTTGAACTCGGAAGTGACTGGGGGATTCTTGTGTTAAGAGTGTGGTTAACATAGTTGTATACCATATCTCAATAGTGTGCCTTTCTTCCTACAGGGTTTTCCTGTAAAAAATTGTGTGGGGATGTTTTCCTTTTTACCTACTTAAATCTACAACTATGAAAGATTTTTCCATGCTTTTTAGTTTGTTGAATTTCAAGATATCGTTAATAGTGGTTTAAATTTGAAATAGCAAGACTTATTCACCTCCCGCTTCTAGATTGGGCCTTAACATAGTCTAGCTTAGAGCACGCAGGTACTATCCTTAATCCTTCAACTAGTACCAGAGCATGTCGATTGTGGATCCCTCAGACAGAGGGGAAAAGAAGAAGATAGAAAAGTATGCACTTAATTCCCAACTATTGTGTTGAATTCCCTAACTTAACTCGAGCACCATCGACCAAAGATTCCACCGACTCAAACACAACATTGAAAATAGAATACGTATGGAAGTCATTCCTTTTGTTCAACAGACAATGCCACCATTTGTGTTATGCTTACAATTTCAAACCATCTTCACAGTCATCTCAGAAAATTGTCAAACACCTGGTACTTTGATGGGCACCATAAATGCTTCCAACATATATATAGAAACAATAATTAGAATGAATTTTCTATTTCTTTTGTTAAGTGGTTATTGCTTAGTGCACTGTGCACTGGTAAATGTGCGGGCAGTTAACATGAGTTTGAATTCTAAAAGCAGTAATTTTTGCACAAATAATACCAAAAGTCTGGACTGTATCCAATCTACACCTTCTCATCAGTCATCACCCTCAATAAATAGGGACCACACTGGGTAATACCCTTAATTCTAGCATCAAAAAATAAGGGAACAGATTGAATGAATGCATTAATTTGATGCATTTCATGACCTATCTTGGAGAATAGATATTTGCAAAAGAAAAGTACTTCAAGAAAAAGCATGAACAATTATTTGCGAAAGAATGGTACACTACGAAGAGGCAAATGAATCAAAAGTTCGATAACACAACTTAAATGCTAATCTACACATCATACCGTTTATTCTCATATAAATTCAGCTATTCCAGGGGAGGAATCATCCTTTTAAGTTTCCATCCCTGAATTTCAAAGCAAAAAATTTGAATCCCACTAATTTACAAATTCTAGCTTTTAATTTGGTCAGAAATAGACCGCAGGAATCACAAGGGTTACAACTCATGAATTGGCATAGTTTCCAAGATAAAGTGATACACGTGTCCTCATCTAGCCATGTTTTTCATTTAAATAGAACAATAATAACAATAGGCAAAATCAAGCATAATTAATCATCAAGGTTGGTAAAGTGGTTTCAATATTATTAAATGACAGATGAATTTCAGATGCGAAATTGTCTAAAGATATATTAATCATTCGGTTCAACTTTCCGGAAACAACAAACTTTCCATTTTCCCAAACTTTCTAGCTAAATGTTTAGAAAGCCATCTAAAAACTCAAGTCATAAATTTCCCTTCTTAAGGCCAAATGGCTGAACTATCAAACCTTCCCAGACCAGATTTTATCAGATTTGATTCAAACATACTATTCCAAATCCGCATAGGATTAGCTGAAATATTGCTCTCGAAGCTAAAATAAGCATAGGCAAATTAATAAGTATATTCCATTATATATTGAATATAATAATACCAAACACTTAGATAGTCTAATCTAAAGAACATTAACATCTCTTATGCATGTGAGCATAACAATCCAAATTCTCCTTGGAAAAAATAACTTCTCAACCATGGTCAATTACATGCCAATGAGATTGATGATGCTCCATTATTGTTCTTTCTTTTTTCGTTTAATGAAAATTAGTCCTAATTTAGGACAAATAGTTTTAACTATATAGAAAAAAAAAAAAAAAACAAAAAAAAAAAAAAAAAAACAAACAAACAAACTTGAAAATTTCAGCAACATTGATATATCAAATTTCCAGCCAGAATCTCCCAAATTCAGATAAGTTGAGAACTTAACACTAAGGTGTAGGTCTAATTTTAATTAAAGCCTCCAATCAACACATATAGCTAGCATAAGCACCAAAAACATTCTAGTAACAGAGAATAAACTGATTATAATCTACCAATTTTATAACAAAAGACATATACAATCACCTCGATTATCAGCAAAGTTGGAATGATAATGCAACCGAGTCGCCTCGAGCATCTTGGAGACCTCCTGGGCACACTCTGATGCCTTCAAGAAATGATCATCAATGTCATTCAATAATTTCAACAAACTCACACTAGACCCAACTCTGTTACTAATAGCTCTCCTAACGTCTGCCGGCGCAGTATTTGAATGCATAAATTGCGTTTCTGTCTTCACCACCGGAGTCTCCTCCTCCGTATCCATCTCCTCCATCACCACCTTCTCCGGTGTCTTCGACTCTAACCCACCCATGTTTCCACCCAATTCACCAACCCCGCCATTCATATTACCCACATTTTCCATCCCACCATATGTTTCATCAAACATTTCTCTTCCATTCTCATCATTTTTGTCCACATCCTCATCATGTTCCAATGATGATCCTGGCATGTTTTCAACATCGAAGAAGTAATCCCAAGCCCCACCTTTCGACCCCGGCGGAGGGGTCATCGGTGGGGGCGGTGGCGGCAATGGTGTCTCCGTTCTCACCTCCCTAACCACATTTCGTTGATTTCTCCGATTTAAATCTCTATCTCTATCATCATTATTGATTTCATCAACACCCTCATCCTCATCTTCCTCAATAACAACGCTTTTCATTTTCTGAATAGGTGTAGACACCGAGAACTCCGGCATGGTCACCGCACGCTGTAGCGGCGTAACCGGAGAGAAGCTGGGCAGGGGCGGAGGCGGAGGAGGGAGGGGGGTTCGCTCATCCATCATGGACGCTGGTTCTGACGGAGGAGCTCCGCCGCCCATTTGGTGGGGGTGGTGGTTGTTATCGGCCTCGCCTTGGCCGTAATCGTTCAAGGCAGCACCGGTGTTCTTGAGGGCCATGGCATAGCCGGAGTGACCGGAAGCGAATGCATTCCGAGCTGAAACTGCTTCTTTCATGAAATTCCTCCGGTCCTTGCATCGCGAAACGGACTCTTCATTCTCAATCTTCGATTGAGCACAACCCATGATGCTATTTTCTCGATTTCTAGGGTTTGAAGCAAATGGGTTTGTACTTCTCTATATCCGAAGCTATTGAGAGCTTGAAACACAGTTCTACATATAGATATAGAGATATATATATATATATATATAATTATAAGGTTTGTAAATGATATTCTAGAGAGAGAGATTGGGGCTATGGAGAGAGAGTAGAGAGAGATCCAGATGAGGATTGAGGGTTTTAGTGAGAGAAGAAGCAGATATGGAACAAACCCATGACGAAGAGAGTACGGAAAAGGAGAAACTGACAAGTCTAGACAGAGTGGTGAAGAGAGAGAGAGGGGAGGAGGTGTGTCTATACGCGAGGTAGTGTGGCGTTGCGGTGTACTCGCTTATTTTGAATGGGAAATATAACGGTCACATTTCCCAAGAAAGAAACGACATCGTTTCGTTGAACCAATGATATGGAATAGTAGTATATATTTCAACCTATAGCATACAAATTGAATGAACAAAACCACTGAGGCAGCGCCAAACATAGAGAGTGTGTCACAAGAGTCAAGATTGGCATCATGTTGAATTCATATTAATTTGTTTTTATTGAGCGGTTAATTGTTAGAAATATTAATCGAAAAAAGGTAAGAAATTAATTCAAATTTCAAATCCATGGTAATTTTTATTTGAGAGAAGTTATGGGACCATGTACACACCATACCCATTTACTGGAGAAGTTAGGGACCATGTACACAGAAAACTTTGATACATTTACTCCAAGAAATTGATAGAAAATACTATTCCGTATTTTATTAGGCCCGCTTGGTATGCATTCTGCTTTTCTTATTTTTATTTTTTGATTGTTACGTACTTTCAAATTTTTTCTAAAACACTCGTACAGCAAAAATATAAAATGTCTAAAACAAAATGCATACCAAATGGGCCTAAACAAAATTCCAAACACTTCACAATTATGGTAAGGCACTTTATTTTCTCTCTCTTCAAGTAAAATTTCAAAAGAGTTATTATACTTAAGTCACATAAAGCGGGAGCGAGAACGAATTCAAGAGCAGAAACATGAGAGTAGCAGAATTGAGTTATGAGTAGTAAGAATTTGAACAAGAATGGGCACGGAGCGTGAGAGCGGAAGCGCGAAAGCGAGAGCGCACTCAGAGCGACATATGTCGAAAAAGATTGTTTGACTTAACATTATACCACACAATTATACTAACACTTTATTTCCTCTCTCCCCAAGTAAAATTTCAAAAAAGTTATTATACCACACAATTTTGGTTATTATAATTTTATTACCAAATTATCCTTCCCATTTTGACAAGTTTTGATTGCTTTAACAAATTTTCAGAAAAAAAAAAAAATGATGGTTTTGAAATAATCCGTGGAGTATGTAAAAACTATCAAAAACTAAAACATGTTGAAGATTATACCAAAATTTTGACTGGAGATCCCACAACCAAAAATAAAAAAATAAAAAATTAGTAATTAATATTTTCCAGCTAAATTGCATTTTTTTTTTGGTGTCAGGGTGAAAGTGGGCCTTTCTTTCCGTTCTATGTTTGGTGCCTAGTTTGTTTGGGCGATTAAAAAAAAAAAAAAAAAAAGTTTGTTTGGGCTAACCCAAGTTCTTTAAAAGCATATTTTTAGAAAATTCTTCTTGGAATTAATCATTAAGTGAATGACTTATGTGGCTGAATTGCCTGACCCAAAGGGCCTGGCCGTAATTTTTGCAAGCATGGCTTTCATATATGGGCTATATTTTTTTCGAAGGCGGTATCAGTAGTTATCTTAAAGTACTGCATAATTCACAACCGGGCACATGTAATCCCAGTGTCACATGCATGGAATAATTACTCGGAAAATTCCCTGAGGGTGACCCCAAAAGAATTCAACTCCCAATTTTCGAGATGTGAGGTAAGAGTTTTTGTCGTTAAATTATCCTATTATGATTATTTTGTACAATGTTTAAAATTAACTAGTTTAGGACCTAAAAAATAAAAAGTAAAATAATACATAAAACGAAGACCCATTATATCATGGGGAAAGCAATTATTTGAAAACATGTTTTTGTGTGTGAGGTAAAAACCAAAAAAGAACATGTTTTTGAAAAGCAATATTTGTTTAGAAAATAATGAGAATACGAAAAGTTAGGGTTAATCAATTACACCCATATTTCAACTGCTTTTTCCTTTACTAATTTCTATAGGGAGAGAAGGGGGTAAAAAAAAAAAAAAATGAAGAAAAAGAAAAAGAAAATAGTTTTAAAAAGCCCATAGTTGGACCATTCGATTACATAATAGATAAATGAAAGAGGATGCGACCCAAACCCACAGTTTATTTTAGGTTGGTTTGGTTTCTAACCCTACCACAACCTAGCCCGTGCAGTGAGTAGCCCAGCCCATTAGTAAGGAGGTTTGGGGCAATACATCAGATTTTTTTTAACCAAAATGTGCAGCCAGCCCATAAATATGTATGCATGCATATTGTATTGATGAGTGATGACATGGTATCACTGATTAAATAGTGACACCTAGAGATTGGACACACTAAAGTAAAACACATTACTTATGTGACTAAATATAATTGATTGATGGTACAAATGACGTAATATAATCAATGCAGGAAAGTCTTTGTTGCGTGCACGATGTATGTAGGAAAATTTAGAAGACTCGGGGGTACTGTACCCCGGGTCTTCCAGCCATTGGATGTAGTGGTGGGTTCTAAAATTTATGATCCAATGGTTGAGAGACTGTACCCCAGAATATTATAGAACTTCTTGATGCATGTACATTTGAATCTATCTATATTTGTCTCTCCATATGAGGGGATATTTTACTCAATTATTTATGGTGTCATTTATTTATTTTTGACATAACAAAAAGAGTTAGTAGTTAGAGAAAAAGGGATTCGAACTTAAAATCACAGGGTGGGGCACTTAAAGTTCCTTTATTACTCACCATACCTATGGCAACTGGTGACGAGTCATTTAAAGAGAGCAGATCTTGAAATCTTTGAACATGAAATGTGTGAATCACCACACCAACCAACAAGTTACAAACGGACTAGGTAGACCATTTGCACAAACATAATATAAACTATAAAGATTGTTTAAAATATGAAAAAAAATTCTCACAACTGATGTATTATGATATAATTGAATCATATTACTTAGATTTTGTAAGGACGGTGATTGATGCAACTATAAAGTACTTCATCCTAACTTAGAGATCACGTTTTTTAAAATGAATTAATAGCCTCTCCATATATGGATGTGAGGTTACGTATATCAAACCTTTCCTAATTTCCAGTTTTTTCCACTCGGAAATAAATTATTTTCTTTCTTTTTTTATCTTTGATTTTTTATATATTATAAAAAAAAAAAAAAAATACAGTCACAAATTGTTCACTAGGGCTTGAACTCTCCACTTCTGCTTTGAAAGGAGAAAAATTATATCATTAGGTTAGCCACCCGTTGATAAAACGTATCAAATGAAATCATACATTGTTTCTTAGAACGCTTAATGTGTAATTGAACCCAAATTAATGAGACATGGTTATGAATTTGGGAGGGATTTGGTTACCATTTAGGTTGAATGTAGCTTAATCCTATCCTTAATTTGGGTGGGCAAGCAAGCGCACTAGTCTATCTTTCACTTGTAAAAAGCCATTTGAGTTGTATCTAAAACATCCTTTTTAATTTCCACTAATGCTTCTTTTTAAGTCTTTAATTAAACTCACTTTTGTTGTGTCTCTCAACTTTAATGGGAATAGTGTCATCCACTACTTAAAGCCTTCTTTTGTTTTCATTTGTAGTTTGGATTGATTTTATTTGTTAAATTAGGTTTAATTAATTTGGTGTTTTTTTCAAGAAGCATTATCGATCAATCGACATAGGGCGGTTGCTTAGTGCCAACCCTATAATGATTTTTTAATTTTATTTTTGGTGTTTTCATTACGATTTGAAGCCAAAATATGATAAACTAGAATATCAATATTTGATACAGGCTAACATGATTGAGATAACCACCCGAAAGAGAAGAAGAAGAAAAAAAAAGAGAGAAAACTTTGAAGGAAAAAAAAATAGAGTTTAATTGAAAAATAGAAATGTAAATATTTTTGAACAGATTAAATAAATAAAAAAAGTTTTCAAAAAATTTAAAAAAGAGTAAAAAAGAAAAGAAAAGAAAAATCAAAGAGGTTTTTAAAAATAGAAAAGTGTATGGAGGGCATTTTTTAAAATTTAGCAAAATCTTAAACATAAAATGAGTGGTAATTAATTTAATATTATTTTACAACCGAGTAGTAATGGAAGGGCAATGGTTTAAGTCATCATAAACACAAAGCGAACGTATGAGTTTTTTTTGTTTGTAAAAAAAAATAATAATAAAATAAAATAAAAAAAAAGGGAAAGCATAACTGACTGGGCCCGCCCCAATCTCTTTGATTAGAGTTATATGAACTACAAATTGAGGCTGTTTGTAGTGAATTTTACAAATCTCAATTAAAAGTTAGGTTCCCAATTTTGGAGCAGAGTACGCTTATACAATTTTCTTGTTTCATTTGATATTAAAACTGTATAGGGATGCATAAATATCTATACAAAGTACAAACACATGCATATATAAAATATCTTCAACATGATTGTTTACATACGTCATACATATAACGTAAAGCATTAGATAGACGGTAATATCTACGAAAATTTAAATATTAAAGTCAAATATTTATAATAGTTTAAGCTTTAAGCTTTTAGCTGGCAAGATTGTGAATTCAAATCTCACAATCACTTGACAATTAAAATTTAAATACGTGTTGAATCATACAAGATCATATATTAATTTTGTGCTTAAATTTTTAGAATAGATAATGGTTAACAACTAAACCGTATTATCGTTAATATTAATTAACTTTTTAATTTCTAAGAATTAGCAAAACAAATGGCCAGACATCTTGGCTTTGATGTACCTTTGCATGTTCATCCCCCTGATTCATTCTATATATTATAATTCTACTAGAGGATTAGTTATAACAAGGCTATCATCTTAGTTATAACAAGGCTATCATAAGATGATTGACTATTATATTTCTTATTCTTCACATCCCCACTCACTATTATTGTAATTTGGGATTGAGAATATCATAGATGACCAGTTTAATGTTTTACTATACTTAGTAATATCTCTCTAATATTATTATCAAATTTGCATTTCAACATCTTAATATAATTGGATACTAATATCGTACGTATTCATTCATTAATTTTATTCCAACCAAACACAACTTTCAACGAAATCACTTTATATCACAAGAAAATAAGCACCCTACTCTTGTCTAATCAAGC